ATGGGTCACGATGGGCAGATCCATGTGGCGCTTGCACCCATTCTCCAAAGGGACAGACAGAAGCACGCTGCTGGTACTGCACTTGCTGAGGCAGGGCCCTCGGGGAAGCCTCAGGTGAAGGCTGCGGTGTGGGTGAGCATGCCATCGGAGGAGCCATCTGTGGAGAGTCCCGGATCTCTCAGTTGGAAATTGATCCCAGCATGGCAGCCTCCTGATGTTCTGACGAGGTCAAGATGTAAGGAGCGACCTGTCACGGGGACCTGCATCACCAGTTGGAGAGCTGGTCCGGTTGGTGTCGGTACCAAAGCAGCCATCAGGACCAATGGGGTAGACGATCCCAAATCACGGTGCCGGGGCTGACTGGTCTTCTTGGCTTTGTGAGCCATCTTGTCTGCCTTGTTCTTCTTAGGCTTCTTATGGCCTGAGGACTTGTCGGATCTGTTGTGCTTCCTCTTCATCTTTTGTTTATGAGGCGATTTAGAGGAATGCTTGCCCTCCAGCAGCGTAGCACCATCAGCTGATGGGCGGGGCGGAGGGGTAGCTGAAGAGGAGGGCTGTGCAGTGGATCAGATTGAACCAAGGCCTGGTCCCAGAGAAGCTTGCGCAGGCAGTTTTCCTGGTTTTTTCACACCTGCTTGGTGAAGGCCTGGCAATGGCTGCATTTATCGGTTCTATGACCTCCTCCGAGGCAAAGAAGGCACAGGTTGTATGGATCATGGACCTGCACTGAGAACACTTGCGGAAAGCCACACACTGAGCCACTGAGATTGAAAAAGAAAGATAGAGAAGCCGAAAAAGGTAAGAAGAGAATAAACCTTTTTTTTTGGGGGGGGGGAGGGGGGGATGTGAAAAAAAAACTTCTAACGGGGAGGGATGAATAACTTGGAAATCTTAACAAGAAAACTAAGAGAACAGTGGTTTTAAAGGGGATCAAGATACACAATATAGTTAAAAACTGAGAGACAAAAGGCTCGAGGCACAGTGAAGGGCAGTCACAAGAAGACTGAGGAAATGGCGGGCACTCCACCGTCTTATACTATAGGGGGGAGGGGTGTGGAATTCCCACCAAAACCGTTAAGCTTTTAAATCTTCCCAGCTACAGGCACTGCACAGAGGCCACAACAAAGAACTTCACCTGGTCTAGAATGCTGTGACCAGACAACTGACTGGAGCTGTTACAGTAAGACCTTCTAGGTGACTGCTCTGAACACATGGAGCTCCCTGTTGAAGAAGCCTAGGTTGGCTTTCTCAAGGATGAATGCTATTTTGGGTTACATTAACAGAAGTATCATTTCCATATCACATGAAATATAAGTTCCACTCTAGTCAGCTCTGGTTAGGCCTCATCTGGAGTACTGCATCCAGTTCTAGGCATGACAGTTCAAAAAGATGCAGACAAGCTGGAAAGGGTTCAGAGGAGGGCAACAAGGACAATCCAGGGACTAGAAAGACAGGTTTCCTTCCCTGTAACTGTCGTTGAGTGGTCATCTATGCATTCACACATATGAGCTCTTCACACATGCGTGGAACAGATTGTTGGGAAGATTCTAAAGCTAACTAATTAGTATTTGATGGGAGCCCAGACCCCATATGCAGCTAGCATGAGGGCAGGGACCTCAGTTCAAAGTTGAGACCACCATCATCACTGTATGAATAACGCAGAATAACCCATGTGTCCCAGAGAGACACCAGAGGGGATGGCAGGTGGATAAGTGTGGATACACAGAGGACCACTTGAAGAACGACAGTTACAGTTAAGGAAACCTATCTTTATTCTTCATGGTCTCTGTGTATGACATATGGGCAACTGGTGAGTTTACCTCAAGGAGGAGGGTGGTGTTGCTCAGTGCAACAGAGCAGAGAGGACGGATCTGCCAAAGGCGCAGTCCTCTCTTGACTTGACATCGAAGTAGTAGTGTTTAACAAAGGTCGACAGATTAGACCATGTGATCACCATACAGAGGTCAGCATAGAGTACGGTAGAGGTGGATGTGGCTCTAGTTGAGCTAGCCTTGACAGGTCCAGAAAGTCGAAGGCCAGAGAGGTCATAGGCCAGATGAATGGTATGGATGATACACCTAGAGAGCCTTTAAGGAGATATCGGGTGTCCTCTGTGTGGCTCAGCATAAAGGATGAACAACCTTTGAGTCTGTCTTAGGGATTGGGTTCCTGATTTATAAAAGGCAAGAGCCCTTCTGACATCTAGGGAATGCAATGCAGTCTATAGGAGTAGATGGACTCTGGAAGAAAAAGGGTAGGATGATTGGCTCGTTCATGTGGAAATATGTGGAAATATAGTGGAAATATGACACTACCTTGGGCAGAAGATCTATGCCACTTATGTGAGGTACAGTGGTACCTTGGCTCATGAACTTAATCCATTCCAGGACTCCAGTCATGACCCAAATTGGTTGTGAGCCAAGTCAAATTTCCCCATAAGGGTAGATGTAAATAAGGTTAATCCGTAATGCAACTATTTTTTTTACTCACAAAAATTTAAAGCAAAGTGACAAAGAACAAAGATCGCAGCCATCTCCCCCCCCCCCAGTGATCGTGCGGCGGGGTGGGCGTGATCATGGGCGTGCTGGGGGAGAGGCAGGCACGGGCATGCGGGGGGGGGGGAGGCGGGCACGGGCACGCTGGGGAGGAGGTGGGTATGGGCACGTGGGGGGGAGACGGGTGTGGGCACAGGCACGCTCGGGCAGGGAACACGGACACAATCACGGCCATCTCCCCCAAGCACAAACGCGGCCATCTCCCCCCCTCAGCACAACCGCGATCGTGCCAATGCAGGGAAGGTGGCCGCACTCATGATCATCACCCAATGCAGAGTTCGTGATGTGAGGCAAAATTTTTATATTTCTGTACACAACCCGATTTGGAAAAGGAAACCTGACCAGCAAAAGCTTTTAGGTATAGCTCACGAGGTAAGTTGGAGAACTTCCCAATGCGCTTACGATGTCAGTCGAAGAAGAACTGAGGTCTCACCCAAAGCACCACCCTCAAACTAGCTGCATATGGGAGCCAGGCTTCCACCGAATACTAATTAGTCAGCTTTAGAAACTTCCCGAAAATCCACTCCACGCATGCATGAAAAGCCCATACGTGTGATACACAGAAACCACGAAGAATAAACACTGCTCTATGAGGAGAGACTGAAAGAGATGGAATGTTTAGCCTAACAGAGGCAGAGTAGATTAAGAAGAGGTGGCAAGATTACACAGAAGAACCATACAAGAAAGAGCTTAACATCCCTGATAACCACGATGGGGTGGCCACTGACCTCGAGGCAGACATCCTGCAATGTGAAGTCAAATGGGCCTTAGGAAGTGTGAGCAACAACAAAGCTAGTGGAGGTGACAGTACTCCAGCTGAGCTGTTCAAATTCCTAAAAGACAATGCAGTAAAAGTGCTACACTCACTATGCCAGCAAACTTGGAAAACTCAACAGTGGCCACAGAATTGGAAGAGGTCAGTTTACATTCCAATCCCAAGGAAGGGCAATGCCAAAGAATGTTCAAACTACCGTACCATTGCACTCATTTCACATGCTAGCCAAGTGATGCTCAAAATCCTACAAGCTAGGCTCCAGCAGCATGTGGACCGAGAACTACCAGAAGTACAGGAAGGATTTTGAAGAGGGAGAGGAACTAGAGATCAAATTGCCAACATACGCTGGATCATGGAGAAAGCTAGGGAGTTTCAGAAAAACATCTACTTCTGCTTCATTGATTATGCTAAAGCCTTTGATTGTGTGGATCACAACAAATTGTGGCAAGTTCTTAGAGAGATGGGAGTCTCAGGCCATCTTATTTGTCTCTTGAGAAACCTATATGTGGGTCAAGAAGCAACAGTGAGAACTGGACATGGAACCACTGATTGGTTCAAAATTGAGAAAGGAGTTTGGCAAGGCTGTATACTGTTGCCCTGCCTATTTAACTTATATGCAGAGCACATCATGAGAAAGACGGGGCAAAATGAATCACCAGTTGGAATTAAGATTCCCGTGATGGGTCGGACACAACTTTGTAACAACAACAACATACCTTAAAGTTCTTCTGCTCTTCTGAGTCAGCAAATTCACTCAAATCAGTTATATAATCTTAAATTTCAAGGGTGTAGAATTTAATGAAAAAGAAATGGTTTCCCATATATCACAGGAATAGTCCTGCACGGAGCAGGAAAGTGTTTATCTAGCACAGAACTTGCTTCCAGGCAGGTGTTTTTAGGAAAGGCATAAGTAGGGAATGTATCAAGTAGCCTTCTCCTGTTTCTTGTCAAACAATTGGAATGCAGTAGTCCACTACCTTTGAACATGGAGGTTTTGTTAGCTCTCCAATAAATAGCTCCTCCAGGAATTTGTGTAAATACTCTGCAATAAAAAACTGCATCCATTGAGATTTTCTCAATGGGTCATAAATAGGAAAGGGCTATTGCTCTTTAATGGAGCCCATGTTTTGTATGTAGAAGTTTTCAACTTCAATACTGGAATCTGTATGTAAGCCTAGGCAGCAGGACTCAGGATGGTCCTGTTCCTCAGATCTTGGAGTGCTGTTTCTGGTCACAGCTGACAGTACAGGGCAGAATATATTTTAAATGACCAAAGCTGACTGTACTGTAATCAAAGATACTAGCAATATTAGTGAGGTCTTGGAAACCAGCAGCACCAAGTTTTTCTACTCTTTGTGGATACATTATTTGTTTTTAGTAAGTACTACAGACTAAAGCACTCAAATGGGGAGAAATTAATACCTTTGGGAAAATTAAACAAGGAACTAAGATTTAGAAAATAAATAATGGCTGAAAAGAACAGAAACACTGATGTTAAATATATTTTTCCAAAGTGGTTTGGGTCCTGAGGGTAGTAACTGTGGCATTATATGCAATTACTTGTTGTGTTTTCAAGTCCCCAGTGGCAATAATTGGTCTACCTGTTGACATGCTATTCTTCTTGTTCCACTGTAAGTGGAGGCAACTGAATTGCACATGGGCATAATTACCATCACTGATAGTGTTGGAGATGAGCTTCCCCATCAGGGTTCTGTCAATCACCACTCGCTCCAGCTGTGGCCCAGAAAGGCTTAGGGATACCAGTACACCTGAATGAAAGAGTAGCTGAATCCAAATAAACAAGGGAAAAATATATAATTAGTAGAGAATGAAGTATTTCATAATATGTTTATCACCTGGTATTTCATATAGTTGACAAAATTCATTAGATACACTATGTCATATGCACTGTAAGACTTTTTAATGTAAGAAAAACTAGAGAGAAAGGGAAAAGCAAAATCATACTGTGTCTTGAATACAGCTACTGTAACTATGTATAAAATGCTTCACTACAGGATATAATTCCCCATAATTTGCTTGGCATATAGTTACTTCAGATGTTGTCATTCATGGTGAAAATCCTTCCTTATGCTGCTGCCCTGCGAAAATATGGATAAGCAAAAAAGATACCTCGACTCAAGTATATGTGATGCAGCTACTCAATAACATGTTTAACAACATCAATTAAAATACTCAATTGTTCAAGGGCTGACCATGGTGCTAATAAAAACATATTCCACAAGTAAATAGGATAAAAAGCCAAGAAAATAGCAATGAGAAGTCACAACACAAGGAACACATATTTAACTTGTATACTTCCTATATGTCACAATACATATTTGCAAAAGTGCTATCAGATAGGACTTTAATTGCCTTGTTCTGCTGTGTAAAAACAGAATGTTAAAAGGAAGATATAAAACAATCCCTTTCTGTGTGTTTGCTAAGCCAGGGCTCCCCAACAATTTTGGACCAGTGGGCACATTTGAGAATTTGATAAACTGCTGTGGGCACTACCATAAAATGCCTGATCAATTAATTTTTTTGATGTCTCCCCGTTGTACGTACGAATCTTGCTTCATGCCCATAAAACAATGCAACATTTTTTAATAAAGGGTTATCTAATCCAGCTAGAATTGTTAACTAATTGGTAGTGCAATACAACTCATTTTTCTTCTTAACTTATGTTTACTTTTGTCTAGCAGTTGCTTCTTTGGGGAGGGTGCTATTACACATATGCATTTGGCATTGAGCAGTCTGTAATATTTGCTAATTCATTGAAATTATTGACCTGCTTCAGGAGAATTAACAAATAGAAGGGAAAACAGATTTTCTGAGGCCCTTTGACAGCTAAAAAGTGATATTACAAAACTGTAAAGAAAAATACTCAGCTTCTATAAAACAATGGACTGAAGAAATTACAATACTTTAGATGTATGAATGGGTGGTACATTGAAACTAACTTCAAATGGATGCTTATTTAGATACATGGTTTGCTCTAGTTGAAGTCTGTAATTGACTGCTAACAAGTTGTACACATTTAATATATATCCATGCACATATATTTAAAATAGGATTTCTAAAAAAAATCCTTTTTAGATGATTGTGGGCTTCTCTCTGGGGACTCCCCCACAGATGCTGTATTGGATGTCACTTTGAAATGCTAGATTAGGGCAGAGTAAGACCTCTCTCATTCACAGTTTAATAGTGGATATGGTGGTTGATCTGGCATGTATACCTGGACCTGGGTAAGCCAACACGGGGGAATTAGTCTCTCCTAGGTACGACCAACAGGGTACTTGGTTCAGCATCATGGCAGACTTGGAGGTTGGGGAGGGCAGGTCAGCATAGTCTGTAAGAATTCACTTTCTCTCCCCAGGCACTCTGTCCATCCAAACATATTAGCCTAGAGGTTTTTACATTTTGCATTGGGCCAGTAAGACAGACTATGGATTCTGCTCGTGTTTGGCCCATCTTGCAACCATCACTCTTCCTGTCTGAGCTGACAAAGATGGTGTCAGAGGTGATGTAAGGGTCCCCCAGGTTGTTGACTTTAGGAATTTCAACATGCCAAATGAATCCCATCTGAGGCAGCTCAGGATTTCATGGTTCCCATGGCAACCAGGATCTGTCCTATTATGTCATTGACCCAATACAAGCAGTAAAGTAAAATCTAAACCTGTTTTGCTTTTCCCAGTTGGACATGAGGGTGGTGCTCTGCATGTGATTAACTTTGATTCAGTCTCTTTGTAATGGTCAGAACACCAGCTACTGAAATTTTGACTAACAGAAGCTTTCCCCTTCTGCAACGGTGGGAGACCTATTAGGATGGTCATTCCCAAAGGCTAATAGATCCAGACAATTTCCGGGGGAAATTCTAATTGATATGGCTGGTGCTCATGTCAAAGCCCTGGTCAACTATTAGGTAGCTGACACAATCATTCCTAAGTACCCTTTCTGTTGTGGAGCTTGTGCCACTCTGTGGTATATCCCAGGGCTGAGAACAGTGAAGCAATACAAGAGACAGCTTGAGTACAGATGAAGAAAAACTCCTAGCAGATCCAATTGGATCCTTCTATGTGCCTATAATCAGGCGTATTTAGAGGCAGGGGAGGTGGCAGAGAAACAACATCTTATTGCCTCTATTAAATCTTCTATTCGCTGCCCAGCTGAGCTTTTCAGGGTCATTCAGGGCCTAATACAATCTAACCCAAAAAGACATCTTAGATCCCTCTGAGTCATGCTATTATATATTTGTTGGGCACTTCCAGGATAAATTATCTTGCATCTACTAGGACTTTAACCTGAGTTATAACAGTTGCATCAAGCGAGGACAGGCTGATCCAGTTTTATTAAGTTTCAGCTGGTACAGCTCAAGGATATTGACAAGTTTGTGCAACTTCGTCTTTGCTGAATCCTTCCCATCCTGGTTTACAAAAGTCAACAAGAGCGAACTAGCTGGGCCATGTAGGCGATAATGCCTGTTTACGTGAGGGAGTGGTCCCATGCCCCTCAGAAGAGGCAGCAGTATGACCACTCCTGGAAAAAAATATCCTTCCACAATCCGTTAGATCTTTTGGCCAAAAGCAAATATTCTTTTCCTGGGCAAAGTTCTTGAGTGGGTGGATGCCAACTAGGTTCAGGTGCTGTTGGATGAGACTGATTATCTAAATCCATTTCAGTCTGGGTTCAGACTGGATTTTAGCATTGGCACAGCTTTGTACAGTGACCTAAGCTGGGAGAGAGATAGTGGCAGTGTGTCTCCTGCAATGCAAATTGCTTTGCAAAATTGGTTTGAAAAGCTAGCTGTAATAGCTTTTACAAATACATCAAATCACTTTTACACACAGGACAGCTGCAATCCTATTACCTAATAGCAAGCCCTGAATAAACTAAATGTAATAAACATTACATTTAGTAAAGTAACCCGAATCCACATTAATAACATGTTTTATTAATAAATAAATAATATTATCTTGAAAAGGACATAATTTGAGTTTCTTTTTTTCTCATCTAGCTCATGGTATGATCAATACTCTTGAGGAGTAACCTTACATCTGATATTCTTGATTCTTTTACATTTGGTTTCAGACCCAGTTCTGGCCTGGTAACTGCTTTGGTTTCCATGACAAGCAGCCTGAAGCCAAATACCAGATGGCGATGCTGGAGGACTACCACTTGGCACAATCACATTTACACAGTGGCTGGGTTTCCATGACATCATGAGTAACCTAACATGAGTAACTGGGTATGATCAATTGTTGCGATTTCTGAATCTATACTGCTTTCTGGTGGGTGGCTTATTTTTTAATAACAATCCATGCTGACAACCCATGGCTTTTTCTAGGACAGGTGTCCTCAAACTTTTAAACAGGGGGCCAGTTCGCTGTCCCTCAGACTGTTGGGGGCCAGACTACAGTTTGAAAAAATATGAATTCCTATGCACACTGCACATTAAAATTAATTAAAATTAAATTAATTTAAATTAAAATTAATTAAAAATTTAAAAATAATTAAAAAATTAAAAAATGTTTGTTCTGCTTGCTTGGGCTGGAGCAGAAGCCCAAAATGACACTGCGCTGCCCACGGAAAGGGAGAGCACGACACGAGAGGGAGCCACGAGGGCACGCTTGCCTTGGTCGAGACCTTCTCAGCTCCTTGCCACTGCCCTGCTTCTGACCCACAGGAAGGTCCCATCGCAGGCACGCACTCGACTCCAAGAGGGGGAGCGGGAGTCCAGAGGAGAGCGCAGGGCGGCTTCCTTGGTGGGGAGAGGGCTGTAAGGAGAGAGGTAAGGGCTGCTTTCTGAGGCGAGGTTAGGCAAGGGACGGAGTCACAGCTGGCCAAGCAGGATGCCTCCCGCATCTCCCCACCACGGGGGGAAGCATGGCAGCCGCTCAATGGCGGCAGCTTGCCCAGAGAAGGCCATGGTGAAGGCACAGGAGCCGCGACCCTGCTCTGCCTCAGCCTGTCTACCCCCAGGCTTGGTGAAGCAGCCGCGGCTTGGCCCACAGCGCAGGGACATGGCTCACATAGTTAAAAATAGTGTCGTCTCTCTCTCTCTTCCCACCACCCTCCACTCTTCTGTATTCCTGCTCCATATTCCCACTCTGTATTCAGAGCCAACACATGCGTGCAATAGGGGGGAAGACCTTGCGCACATGCAGTTGAAGGGAGCTGCTACAATTTGGAGCATGTGCTGGCTCTCTGCTAGTCTCCGAAACTGAAAGTTTCAGAGAATGCCTATGCCAGCTCAGACTTTTCAGACTTGTTCAGAAATCGTTGAACCGGATAGGCCAGGTAAATGACCTCAAGGGGCCATATCCAGCCCGCGGGCCGTAGTTTGAGGACCCATGTTCTAGGAGTTGTTCAATTCACAATGGGTTGTTGTATCATATGAACCTGAAAGCAATTTTATTGTGGTTTGCATGAGCAGCACAAATCCTTTGCTGCACCCAAGTGGAAAAGTGACAGCTTTTCCACTTGGGTGTAAATATTGTACCTGCTAAGCCATCCTTTAAATGAAAAAATGCCCCCAAATTGTGTAAATGTATTCAGAATTTGTTGTTAGTGTCAGTTTTTCACAAGTATGCATCTACAGCTGCCTGATCGGTGTAGTTTTGCTTGATCAATTTCCTAGCATGTTTCAGCTGTGAAAGGGAGCAGCTAAGTGGAGTAGATAGCAGACATGGAAAGTGGCAAGAAGAGGCTGCATATAGGCTGACTTGTACACTGCTGGTAGGGTTGTTACTAAGTTAAGCAAAAAGTTTTGAAAAGGGGGAACTGAC